CTCATCAACGAATTTTTCAATTGATGCTGTCAAGACATCTGGGTTGAATTCATGGACACCTGTTCCTGTGACTAACACAGTGAGAAGTACACATAGCAACAGTATTTCATCTACATCTGTTCCCAGTTCATCAAGTCCTGATAACAACCCCAGTATGCAAACTTCTCAGCAAGAGAAGCCTAGCATAGACATCAAGCATGGGAATGATGTGCCTGGCAGCGGTTCTATTCTGACTGAACTAGATACTGTGAACTCCAATATGAAGAATCTGAGGATAAGTTTGGATAGCCATGATACCATACATGTTAAGCAGCAGTGGCCGGACAATGTCTTGCAGCAGTTTGGCCCCTCACCTTTAGTCCAGGGTGATCCTATTCAAATGATTCCTCAAGGAACACATCTTCCCCATGTTCCTTTTGTTGAGAACTTGTCGCATACTCAATTAAAATTACCAACTGGTGACATGCAGCAATTTTTACCACCGCCTGGTATGACAACACCTTTTTATGCACCAAATTCTTTTGGAAGCCCTTACTATCAAAATTTGCATCCGGCTAGTGTATTGCCAACACCATTTGGAACTGCTGGATATGCTTTGAGTGGTTCAGCTTTACCACCTGTTATGACTAGCTATGCTCCCCAGGTTTCTGTTGCTACACCTGTTGACAGCCCTATTACTCCAAGCTTTAGTGGTAGACCATCTGGTTTTCCTTCACCAGGGAATCTTAGTGCAGGAGCAGAATTTGTTCAGCCATATAAAATGTATGGACAACAACTTGGGGTTACCATGCAGCCATCCGTTCCTGACCCAAACTTCTTTCAGTTCTTTCAGCATCCTTCTTTACTTTCATATGCTGGTATAAATCAATACAATACAATGGGACCAAGGGTTAGTGTTGTTGGGAATCCTGCTGATAGTTTTGATCCCCAAAAGGTATTATCCCAGCCTGCGTATCCATCTGATCAGAGGCTTCAACTTCCAAGAACTGGAATTTATAACTCTCCTGCAGCCAGAAGAGGAGGGGCCGCTCCAAATTATCAAGGCATGACACCATATGTTGGAGCACCAATGACTTACCCAACAAGCCCAGTGTTTCAGGGACAGACTTTCACTGGAGTATTTTCTCCTGGTAGGAGAAATGATTCTGTGAGATTCCAAACTCCCTCAAGAAATATGACCGCTTATTCTGGTGTTCAAGGGCAGCGAGAAAGGGAGAAATTCGATGACCCAAAGGCATGTTCCTTCCTGGAAGAACTCAAGTCTAACAGGGCTCGCAGGGTTGAACTATCTGATATTGCAGGCCATATAGTAGAATACAGGTTAGTCTCGAGGTGTTCCTTTTAGTTGTTCTGTCTTAGACATGTCTACTCATATACAACTTTTGGTCATTAATTCCTGATGTATTTTTTACCTCAGCGCTGACCAACATGGCAGCCGATTCATCCAACAGAAGTTAGAGAACTGCACTGCTGAAGAGAAGGCATCTGTGTTTTCAGAAGTTCTCCCTCATGCTTCATCATTAATGACTGATGTGTTTGGGAATTATGTGATCCAAAAGGTATGCTGCTGTAAGAGTTAATATGTCAATGCCTATTGTCTGTGGTAAAAATCATGTGTTGCATGTTGTGGTCTAGTCACTTCATCTTACATAACTATGCTTTGTGACCAATAACAACTCTGAGTTTTATCATATCTGAAGAAATGACATATAATATCTGCAGTTCTTCGAACATGGAACTCCTGAACAAAGGAGGGATCTTGCCACTAAGCTTGTTGGTCATGTTTTACCTTTGAGCCTTCAAATGTATGGATGCCGAGTAATTCAAAAGGTAATCTTTACCTTTTTCTTATTTTATCTTTCCTAAAATCAAGAATGCTTTTGAATACTTTGATGGCAACTATAAAAATATTGGACTGTGGGTATGCGGTTCTTTTTTTTATAGCAGATTTTTGGGTTTATCTGTGGAAAACTTTAAACTTAAATAACTGGTTGGACAATACCATAGAATACATGGGTTAGCGATAGATGGTTTCAGGTTGTCTATGACTGTGTGCCTTTGCTAGCTATACTTCTGATCTTGAAAGGTGTATTACTTATTGGCTATTGCCTATTGATTTGAAGTTCTGATGTAGCTTATTTAGATTTTTTTTAACATCGATTATATGCAGAGTATTAAAGGTTACTATCAACCTTACATTAACCATCTAGCTCTACTGAATGTTCCATAGGTCCTCAGCCTTTTGAACTTGAGAACTTTGAAGAGAACTAAAATATTTTAGAAATTAAGAAATGTCTTTAAGAGAGTAGAAGTACTCAGTTGTACACGAGAAACAAGTGGTACACGAGATTAGAAGTACTCGGTTGTACACGAGATACATAAGGGTATCCATGTTCTATATCTGTGTATGCAATCATTACAGTATTTTGGGGAAATTTTGCCTGGGGAATTCAAAATAAACTACTTTTGTATGCCTAGAAATAGCTATTTTATGTCCTCCTGCAAGTATTGTGTGGACCTGGCGAATGTTCATTGGCATGACATGGATGCACATACATGCAACACTGCGACGAGAATACGAGATGCAGCTTAGTACCATCTATGATCTGTTACCAGTACTATATTTACCTAACTTGTATTTTAAAACATGTAGGCTCTTGAAGTTATGGAACTTGACCAAAAAATAGAACTAGTTCGTGAGCTTGATGGAAACATTATGCGATGTGTCCGTGATCAAAATGGGAACCATGTTATACAGAAGTGCATTGAATGTGTTCCTACAGAACATATTGGCTTTGTAGTATCTGCTTTTCGGGGGCAGGTGGCCAGCCTTTCAATGCACCCATATGGTTGCCGTGTTATTCAGGTAATTTCAGAATAATATTTGAGATGTGTTCTGTGCTAGAGCTTGGTGGCCAGCTTTCTCATTAATCTTTATCCTACTTGGTAGAGAGTTTTGGAGCACTGCGGTGGTGATTCACAAGGCCAGTGCATAATAGATGAGATACTGGAGTCGGCTTGCGTCCTCGCACAAGATCAGTATGGCAACTATGTTACACAGGTAAATTTGTCTACAAGCTGATGCAATACTTGCTGCCCAAATTCCTATTTCCTTGGCAGTACCCATCACAACTGCGGAATAATACCCTGTCAATCAGTCAATCCTGCCTTGCTGAAATATGATAATTTCAAACAGTTTCTTGACTAGTAAATGATCAGACTGTGTGTAACAGACGTAGAATGCATTGCATGTTATGAAGTGTGTTGGCTCATTTGTTGGCAGTTAGCACTGAAATCTACATGCATATTTTTAGTGAATGATGCTATAATGAAGTGACTGAACTCAATTTTATGTCATCTTGTATTCTTACTTGTCAGCTCGTTGTTTTTCCTTTCTCTTTTGTAGCATGTTTTGGAAAGAGGAAGGGGACATGAAAGGACCCAAATTATCAGTAAATTGGCTGGGCAGGTTGTTACCATGAGTCAAAACAAATTCGCATCAAATGTGATAGAGAAGTGCTTTCAACATGGGGATATGACAGAGCGAGATCTTCTGATCCGGGAGATTGTGAAGCAGACTGAGGGCAATGATAACTTGCTGGTATGTTTGAGAAGTTGATACTGTAAATCAAATATTTTCATTCAGTTCTCTCCCTCCCTCTCTCAGGCACAGGGAGCAAAGCCTGAATTAGCGGGATAACCAGTATGCAGTAGCATCCCGTGTTTTTAGCATCCACGAAAAAATTAGATAAAAACCGATATACTATTCACTATATCTAATATAGCATCTCTTAGATTCCACAATATTCTTTCCTGCGGTTTTCGTACGAATTGATTTGCTAACAACCTTTTACACATTTAGGCGATGATGAAGGACCAGTATGCAAACTATGTAGTTCAGAAGATACTTGAAACATGCAACGAGCAACAGAGAGAGCTCCTGCTCAGCCGTGTGAAGGGCCATCTGCAAGCATTAAGGAAGTACACCTATGGCAAGCATATTGTGAGCCGAGTTGAGCAACTTTGTGGTGAAGGTGATCATCCTCTTCTACTTTTTACTTCTAACTGCATCCTCTCTTTGGTTTTCTTCAACCTTCAAGTGCAACATTCAAGTGACTCTATTTATGCTTTGATACTTTCAGGAGACACCGAGTCAGATTCTTGAAAAATTAGCATATTTCTTCACTGGAGGTGTATGCCTGGAGCCCTCAAGATGAACAACCTCCAGTGCTTCCAGAAGGGCTAACAAAACTCTTGTCTCCTTCAGATTGTACATAAGTGACTCTCATTAGGTGGTAGCCTAGGTGCTAGATACAGTTTAGTGGTGTGCATCAGTGTATCTATGTTAGGGGTTTGCTTATTTATAGAATCAATAATGGTACTGTAATAGTTGGGTAGCTGTTTGCAAAAGAAGATTTAGTGGCTTGTATGCGATAAATTATCGACTGCTTGGTAATGTAATCGCTTGCTTAGTGGCTTGAATCGCAGCTGTGCGCCAATTTGATGTGTCCAATCATGTGATATTGTGATGCATATATTTGCTAGATTTATAGGCAGAAGCTGTTCATCCGCTATGAAGAAAAGGTATATAATTCAAGAACGAACTGTACTTTGGGCCATATTTTATTGCCAAAGTTATCATCTTATGTCTAATCTTTTCATTTTTGTTGCACAATGGGCCATCCTAAGATTCTTAATTCTTCACTTGCCATACGTAATGTCTTTTTGGCAAAGGTACGGCATGTGTATAAATGGTGAAGTTCGCCGGCAGTTGTTATTGATGTGTTCGAGGTTGTTGTGATATGATTTGAGGTGATCCATTGTATAGCAAAAGTATTCCATTTCAATATAAGATGTTTTGACTTTGGTTAAAGTCAAACTGTTTCAAGTTTAATTAGGCTTATAGAAAAAATAGTAATATTTTTAATTCAAGATAAATTTATTATAAAAATATATTTAATTATCAATTTAATAAAAATAATTTTATAATATAAATATTACTATATTTGTCTATAAACTGGCCAAATTTAAAATAGTTTGACTTTTTTTTGCGGGGATAAAACAGTTTGACTTTGACGAAAGTCAAAACATCTTATAACCTAAAATAAAAATAAAGGGAGTAGTTCAAAGTAAAAAGGTTGAATAAAGGGTGATCTAAAATAAAAATTTAACAACAAAATATGGCATAAAGTGCATTTCACTCATAATTTAATTATCAATGGTTAGAAACTCAGTATGCTGCCTTGGCAAACTGATATCATGAAATTTAATTATCACGTTTAAATCTTGGGATTTACCTGGTTGATCATATTTGTGAATAAAATGCATTCTTATTCTTAACCATAATCCACAAAGAGAACAAATTGACGAACGTATTCTAATCCACACTTAAATGAAAACGCCATCAAAATTTAAAAGATATATTGGCGCCAAATGCGCCACTGTGGGTTCAATTAGCCCTCAAACCCCTCAAGATTGCCACTCTGCCGTCGGCTCCTCGTCCGGCCAGCGCTGCCGGCGACGCCGCCGCCGTCGCCCATTTCGTCGAACACCCGCCGCACCATCCCCTCAATGGCGTCCACCGGCAGGAACTCCCGCCGGCCGCCGCCGGAAGCCACCGCGCTGTCGTTCGCCCTGAGGAACCCGGCGTAGGCGCCGCGCACCGCCTTCGCCGCCGCCGCCTTGATCTGCTCCCGGAGGTCGCCGTCCGGTATCTTGTACTCCGCGCCGTGCCGCCGCGCCCGCTCCTCCAGCGCGTCGGCGAACGCCGCCGCCTTCTCCCTCGCCTCCTCCGGCGACGGCCACGCCTTGGCCGCGCCGGAGCTGCTGCCGCTGACGAGGCGGACGAGCGGGCCCCACGCCGCGTCCTGGTACTCCCACGCCGCCTCCTCCGCCGACGCCTTGTACCGCCGCCGCATCGTGTCGTCGCCGACGAGGCTGGCTAGCTCCGATCCCCTGGCGCGCATGTAGATGTACCAGTAGGAATTCATGGCCATGACGTGCGACGCCACCGCGTCCGGGAGCGCGCGGCGCGCCGCCTCGACGTGCCGGTGCAGCGCCTCCAGCACGTTCGACGCCGCCTCCGCGAGCGCCTCGCTGTCGCCGCCGTCGTCGTCGCCGGCGCCGGCGCGCAGCGCGGCGTCCATGGTGCCACGGTAGTCGTCGGACGCGAGGCACTTGAGGTAGTTCACGGCGTAGCGCACGATCTTGGGCACGTGCCCGGACTCGCCGGCGGCGGCGGCGGTGACGTAGTGCGTCTCGACGCGGAGGCCGAACTCGTAGAACGCGGCGGCGGCGGCGCGCGCGAGGGCGCGCTCCACCTCGCGCGCGCGCTCGCGGATGGCGAGCAGCGTGGCCGACTCGCCGGAGAAGAGCTCGTCGAGGCGGCCCCTCTCCCGGGCCACCGCGTCGAGCATGTCGAGCAGCCTGAACAGCCGCTGCGGCTCGCGCGCCGCGGCGGCGGCGACGCCGTCGGCGAAGCGGAAGAACGCGGCGGCGATGCGGGCGGCGATCTTGGCGAAGCACTCCGGCCAGACCGCCGGCGGGAGGGGCGCGAGCACGCGCGCGCAGAGCCAGCGCTCCGCCGCCAGCACGCCGGAGATGGCCACGTGGAAGTGCGGGCCCCACAGCGCCATGGCCGACTCGAGCGCCTCCCACTCCATGGCGTCGACGTCCTCCGGCGTGTACGACTTGAGGTACTCCGGGTTCAGCCGCATCATCGCCTTCGCCGCTCTCCTGTACCTCACCTGACGTCACAGCGACAGTTATTTCAGTTATTACTCGGAAAACTATTTTGATCCTTGAGGAGATGTCCCTGGCTTGTTTAAAAATTATCTAAATGGTTCTAAAAAATTCTCAAAAGAATTTGACAATATTTATATACCACACCATAGAAATTAAGTCCAAACACAACTCACACGACGTGACGACGATGAGATATAAAAAAGACAAATCTAACATATAAATAGTAAACCTTTTTTTTTAGAGAATGAGATTTAAGCTCAGAATTTTAGATGCTACTTAGCCCACTAGACTATTTACTCAGGTTATTGTAACCTCGAATAGTAACGCACTGTTCACATTTAAATTTATCCTTTTCTCTGTCTCTCAACATATAGATTGGATTTGAGCTTGATTTTTTATGAATTTATAAATATCATTATGGTCTACATTATAATTTTTTTTAGAACCTTTTGCAACTATTTATATTGGATTTTAAAGAAAAAAAAAAGTAAACAAACTAACTGCCACGGCGAGGAATGGTGACGTCAGCTAACCTTGACGTAGATATCGAGGCAGATGTCCAAGCAGTCGTTGCCGGCGAGCGTCCTTGCAATCCTCGCCGCGGCGTCCACCTCGTCATCCGTGCCCAGCTCGTACTCCTCCTCCACGTCGCTCACCTCGCCGCCGCCGCCGCCGCGGCCGGGGTGCTTGAGGCGGAGCAGGAGCGCCTCGAAGAGGTCCTGGAGGCCGAGCAGCGCCTCGTCGAGCGGGCCCTCGAAGCGCATCTCCTCCGCCTCCGCCTCGTGCACCGCGCGCAGCGCCGCCGCCGCCTCGGCCAGCCGCCGCACGCGGCCGCGCCCGGTGGCCTTGGTCCGGCCGAGGAACCCCACCGCCTCCTCCACCCGCCTCACGGCCTCGTCCCCGCGCGCCACCGCCTCCTCGACGGCGTCGCGCAGCCGGTCCACGCGGCCGACGAACGCCGCCGCGCCCCCGGCGTCGCCCGGGTCCGCCGCCGGGAGCGCCGCCGCGGCCTCCTCCGCGAGCGCCGACACGCGGCGGAGCGCCGCGAGGAGGGGCCCCGCCGGCGCCACGGCGCGGTCGATGCGCGCGCGCAGGGCGCGCGCCGCCACCGCCTGGGACTGGAGCTGGGAGGACGACGGCAAGCCGCTGTACATGTCGCCGAGGCGGTCGCCGGCGGCGTCGATGGCAGCCTCGGCCTCCACCGCGGTCGCGAGGACCGAGACGATCGCGGCGCGCGAGGCACGGAGCTGTTCGAGAACCGTGTCGCCGCCGGCGATCGCCGGAGTGGAAGCGTGGGTGCACATGGCCGGCATATGGCGACGCCTTCCTCTGTGTTAACCACTAATAGCCATGCATTATATAATTGAACACTTAATGGGTAACTAGAGCACATAATTTCTTAAGTAAACTTCATGGCAAAAAAATTTGAATTTCAATAAAATGCATTTTTTTTCTGTTTACCAAACAGAGCTTTCATTCAGTATCAACACAAACAGAGGTTGAGCTTAAACAACAACTAAACAGGTCGAACGTCTAATATATGTAAGCTTATAAACAAGAAGTTGCATGTACCTCCATTTAGTACAATAATAACAAGAGTATGCTTACGATTACTACATAGTTTCATGCAAGATTTTCTGAAGAATTATTGGAATGCATTCATCTGACAGTTAAAAATATAAGTCTGTATGTTGTAGTGTTACTCTGAGTGATCTCTGTTCATTTCCACAATACATCATGGTGCAATATCTCTGAACCGAGTGAAAGGTAACATTGGAGAACAGGACAAGCTTTTCGGTGAGAGCAAAGCACTTGAATTTTAGCTGCTGCAGAGGGCAAATGGCTATCTATCTTTGGAGACTTCACCTCCTGCTGTCTTAATTCTGAGAAACAACAGCATGCATCCGACAAGAATCACATTGTAATTTTGTTGTAATGTACGGCAATTTGCAGAAAAAGAATGGCAGATAGCATTTCTGAATCACACATTCGTACAAAGGCTACTCTGGGAATTAACCCCCTTTTCTTCATTACTTGGGGAATTTCACAGAATTTTGGGGGCAATGCATAACTCAAGCCACATGGCATGGAATGTCTGCCCCCCTTGTCAACAATTACTGGCTTAAACAATCCAGGTTGAATAAAGCCAATTAACTAATGCTTCTAATCATTGGCACAAAATGGCCTCTTAGCTAGATGACTGGCATGTGTGGGATTTCAAAGAAGAAAAAAAAAAGAAGGAAATCCCACACTGCCTCACAGCACAAGAAATTTATTCTGTAGCAATGCCTGCCATGTTGAACAATTCCAGGCATGCTAGACTGCTAGTGCTAGGTGTGCAGCTCTGGAGCCAAAAGAATGTCCTTCCATGCCTCATAGAACATCCAGGTAATGCCGGAGGTCGGCATCACCTTCAGGGAGCTTGCGGCCCATCCGCGGTAAAGTCCCTTGATGCCCTCCTCTTGGAACACCTCAGCTAAGGCCGCGATCATGTGGGGCGGGCATTTCCCTTGCAGGGTTCCAACCATAAGCCGCTTCCTCGCCACTTCCAGAGGGAAGCTTATTGTACTTGCAGTTAGACCTAGAAGATCCAACATCAAAATTGTGAAAAGAGGGGTATACTCAAATCAAATGCTAAACTTCTCGTGAATTATCCCATTTCTCAGGTTTATCAGAATTTTTGGGAATTAAATTGTTAGCTAGTGAATTTCTAATCAGCAGGTGAAGTGGCACTGAATGCTAACCTGAAAGAGCTCCAATAATGAGTAGCTCAGGACGGCTCAAGGACTTCTTTTTATGTGCACGGCAATAAGAAGTCTTGATCGTCTCATACATGAAATAGTAGCAGGTGCTATAAGGAAGCATGCCAACTAGTGTTGGGCAGAGGCCAGCATAGAGACCACCAATACCATCAGTTTGGTATATCTTGTTGAAGGCAAGGCCGATACTTGGATAAGCCTCACGGTTGACAGTCAGGCGGTCCTATGATAGAACATCAGAGTATCAGACTGATGTACATGGATAAATGGCTTGCCAGCAGAAAGATATAAAAAATAATCAGACTCAAGCTACGTAAAACTATTTTGAAGTTTGTCAGTATTTTGCACTACTTTGAACATAGAACTACAAAACCTACAGTTTAATTAAAAAGGAAATATAGCATAAAACACATCATGAATTCCAATTTTCACAGCTGGAAAAGCCAACAGATAGTTTAGACCATTAATACGCTGTAGATTATGAAGTACCTTAAGAACCTCAAGAGGATGGCACACTAAGGTGCTAACTATTCCAGCAGCCGCACCACCAACAGCAATTGGAGAGAGCAAGTGAAGTGGTAGCTCAATTTTCAAATTGCCAATTTGTATATTTGGGCACCCATCTTCCTTCCATTTCTCTTGTGCTTCTGTCATGCTCCTTTTGACACACTCAAATGTGCCAAGCTCAAGTGCTTGAGTTGGAATAATCCGAAGCATATTTATTGTATTACCTGCCCAGAGTCCTTGCCAGCCATTTTGTTCGACGATCTCCACAAAACTACCAAAAATGTGTTTTGATCCTACCCCAACAACCATTCTTGTCCTGAAATCAGACACCATGTAACATAATGCATAATTCAACAGCAGTCGATTGAAAATATTTTTTTGTAAAACACACACACACACAAAAAAAATGACCACTCCTTTTTTTTATTTTGTGACTAAGCTTAAGCTTATATGACTATGAGTACTTTGTTAGTAAATATCCGTTGTTCATAATAAAAGAAACAATCAAGCAACTACTATATTTTGATTCTAACATTTGAACTAAATGGTGCATACGACTGTTCAACAAAGCCGAGAAACATAATGGTAAAGAACTGATCTCAATTATGTTTATAAGGCATAATTCTAGAAATCTCCTCAAGTGTACCAACAAAAAATAAGCAAAGCAAAAAAGAAAAGCAGCTGGTACTCCAAGAGCCTACTTAATCACCAAGCCAACTAAACCATGTAATCAGAAAAGAAGACAATGTTACAGAAGTGAGTAAATGAATGCAGTGATGGATGTAAAGTGAATACCTGATAGTTTCTAGAGGAGCAAGAACAGCTTTAGTCATAGCACCAGCTAATGCCCCACTCACGAATTCTCCAACTTCTCTATTCCTCAGGAAATTCTGCATAAGATATAGTAATGGTTCCAATGTTAACAATTAATAACAACACCATGATTTAAAACTTACGAACAACTTTGGGTAGAATATAAATCAGTGAAAGAACTATTTCTGGAAGTGTTAACCCTGAATGCATCCAAAAAAACACCTACAAGCGTTTTGATGTGGTAGAGCTGCTATGGAGATGATTGCAACGAACTTTTCATCACCCACTGCAAAGCTATAAATTCAATATTTTCCCTTTTGAATAGGAAAGAAAGCGGAAGCTATATGTCCAATTACTGACTGCACTTGTTTGTGGATTTCTATGCTATAAACACCTAAATGGATCTGGAAGGTACCCGAGGTATTCAAGTAATTATTTTGTGTTCGGTCACTACTTCTTGCCTGTCATCTGTATCTAATCCAAACTACAGCATTAACTTTCCAGGACACATTTCCGGTTTGAAAATTTGATCAAAATTGTGAGTTCCTAAACTACAGTGTGCTGGGTTTGCCTAATTGTCAGCACGAAAGTTCCTCCACAGAGGCAACATCACTAGTAGTAGGGCAAATTTGAATTGTTATTTCACATGATCCAGTCCAAATTCGGTGTTGGAAATTGGAAGGAGAAAAATAAGGGATAACAACTAAAAGACCACTCTTTTCTACACATGGTAGATTTGAGAAGACCAAGAAAAATCTCAGGTACCAGATGACAAAATTGGTGTCTTCGTTGAAAGAAACATCTCATCCTACCAAATTCTAGAAGACTATTCTCAACCCGATGAAAACTAATTGAGTTAATCAGATAACACACAAAAAAAAGACTTGCCCTACTCACACTAAAACAGAGCTGATGATCGCTGACAGCCAGAAGTTTATTGTCCCACAATTTCCATATATATGAAATATATAAAATACTGTAAAACTGTAAAAGGGTTGTTCACCGTGAATAATGTTTTCGGACAGTTTACTCGTATTTCTATATGTGGTTGTCAAGTATTTGGCTCGACGTCTATTTCTGAAGAAATATCTGCCTACGATCAATACAAAGAATACTAGTCAGCAGTCAGCACGTGTCGTCTACTGGCACATGGCAATGGGAAATAGGACGAACGCGTTGAACTAATCCTAAATAAATAGTGCCATAATAAGTAACACTAGTTCATCACTTAACTGGATAAACAAGTAGCTAAAGCAAGCTAAACAGGGGGGCAAAAACGAGGTCACAGCTTCCTATAACCTGTACACTTCAGTACTTCACCAAAACGAGCCAACAGAAACCATTTGGAATGCGCCTAGATCAAGAAAATACTCCAATAAGCATGAAAGAAACTTTCCGACAAAAGCAGATTTTTAACAGTACATTAACTAATAAAAATTGCAACGTGTAGCTGAGCCTTTATGTCTTTATCAGAAGTACACAGATCAAGATTCAAGAGTACACCATCAACAAAATTATCCAAATAGTTAAGCAATTAAAAAGTTGAAGTACTTAGACTTGAAACTGGTACATCAAACAGTTAAAAAGAAGACTTAAAATAGAGTTGAAACGAATAATGAAAATCAGGAGCTGAAACTTCAAGAAAGAAATATACGGAGTACTTGACAGCCTGAAACTGAAGTACTCTGAACACAGAAAAGCATCAAGCCATCAACGAATTAGAACTGTTCGCTAGATAAAACAGCTACAGATCGAACATGAAAAAACCCCTCCATGAATCAGAACAAGGTGTCCCAGTTGCAAAATCCTATTCCGACATCAACAATCAAGCACAGCAAATCCAGTTTTAAACAAAACAAGCTTGCAAATTTGCCGCCCAAACAGTCTCCAAAACGTCCAATATCCCACTACCCCCAGACGCCAAGATCTGTGTCCCTCCCCTTACCCTGACGGCGGCGCCGACGTCCGGGAGCCCGACGGCCACGTCCCCGACGACCTTGGCGACATCGAAGTCGTCGTCCTTGGGCAGGCCCACGACTAACAAGTCCTCCTTGTACCCGCCGCCGGCGCCGGCGCCGCCGCCGCCAGCCACGGCGCCGACACGGACGTCCGCGAAGCCGATGCTGGCGAGCGCGAGCTTCTTGCCGCCGCCGCCGCGCGCCACCCCCTCCTCCTCCATGCCCATGGCTACTCGAGAGGAACGCAAATGCGCGAAACCGCAGGGGGCAAACCGCAAAATGGTGGTGGCTCCTCTCCTCGCCGCCGCTCGTCGCCGCTTTTGGAGGAAAGGGTGGAGAGGAGAGGAAGGAAGGAAGGAGGAGGATGCTGACGTGGCGAAGCGCAAGAATTTTTGTATAGCGGAATGGAGATCGAATTCATACTAGTACGTATTTATATACTGTATTTATCTTGTATTTTTCCCTCTTTTTCTTTCTTGAGTGAATATTGCTACGCGTGTTTGTATTGTGTGAGATTTTTGCATGTTTTTGTTGTGTTTGTTCATAGTGGGATGATTCGAAATCTCCTGTATTTTTTGGGAGTTTCTGACATCAATTTGCACGTTTGAGAAATTTGTGTGGTTGTATTTTTTTTTGTGTATTTACACCAAGGCTTCCTTCTTGAAACTTTCCTGCATTTTGGCATTTTGGCCGTTTGGAATGGTGGCCTTTTTCTTGAGAGAGACCTCGATGTCATAAAAAAAGTGTTTTTTTTCCCTTTTCTTTTTTTTTTGAAATGATTTCTCACTCACCATGATTGAGAGAGAAAAAAATAAGGGAAAAAGCGAGGGCTAAAGTACAAAAAATGGGTCCTTTTCCCGAGGCGATGACCTTTTGGGCCCACAAATTATTATTCCCCTGCAGGATCTAGCTTACACAGGTGTGTGGGCCCACCACGCGTGCTGGGCCCACCGTGATACTGGAGTGATAGGCCCATGGACCTATGTTGTATGGGCCTTACGTCAGCACGGCCCAGTTGCTGGTTTTACCTGCAGATGCGAGCAGCCGCCGGCGGCGGCGGTCGGAGAGCGAGTGGAGGGGAGGATGCTGTGCCGCCGGCGGCGCGTGGGGGCGGCGGTGCGGTGGCTGTCGCGGCTGGCGCCGCCCGCGCCGGCGGAGGCGGACCCGGTGGTGGTCCGCGTGGACGGGAGCAACGTGGCCCGCCTCGGGAAGCCCAAGCCCGGCCCGAGGCCGCGGCAGCTGCTGTCGCTGCCGCCGTTCCCGGGCGGCGGGGACGGCGACCCGCTCCCCGGGAGGAAGGCGGCGGCGCCGCGGCGGGTGACGGCGGTCAGCTGGGTGAAGCACTACCTCGCCGACGTGCCGCAGGAGGTCGTGCAGGCGCACTTCAACAAGAGGCTGGTAAAATCGCACATGGCCTTCAAACTAATTTTTGACAAACTCTTTGATGCAAAGATTGCAATCTGTTTTCTTCCTAGTTAGTGAGACATATTAGAGGAAAAGATTCATGTTGTTCTCTTGCTTGAAATGCTCTTCGGGAGTGTGGACTCTACTACTCTAGTGGCGAAATGTTGCTTGGTTAGTGCTCATGTTTAAGTTTTTCTGTGTTTCTGCCCTTGCAAGAAAATAGTATCATGATCTTAATATGTCTTATTTATGTATGATTAGTCACTTTTATTTTTCTTTAAGTTCACAATTTTCCCTCTTGCAATCTTTTCTCTCAGTTTGATGTCATATGCAGTTGGCACTATATTTAGGGATTCCTTTTTTGTGTATGAAGTGAAACTATTTGTTCCCCGTTTACCAGGTTTATTCCGAGTGCTCAGATCATGAGGTTTCAGTTGAGACTATTAAGAGCCAGAAGCATCATCTCAAGAAGGTATACAATAGAGATTTCGTTCCTAAAATCTGTTTGTATTCTATTGTTCTGCGGTTTGAATGAAGTAAATATGCTCAGCAGTTTGTTGCAGATCAAGCATAATGATGTGATGGAGCCTGGCATGAGAATTCACCTTCCTGTGTCAGTGGCAGAGGGCGAGATTAAGAAGCGGTATGAGACCATTCCAACTGCCACATTGCATCCCAATAAAGATGAGATTGAATACTTGAGAAGGCTTGTCATACACAAGGTAAATTTATGGTTGTGTGATGTATTTTCATTGGATGAGTTGTAGCCTACATAATTCATGTAGTATGTGCGGATAAATTATGTAGGTCTTCTACCTTTGTACCATTCTATACCACAACTTGGACATACAGTATTATGATATGAATTAATTAATGGCTGTTTACATATTATGGTGCTTTTAAAGTATCATAAGAGTGCTGTTCACAGTTTTATTATGTCTGTCAATTATTGAAAAATGTCAGCTTGACACAATTTGAGCACTCTGTTTAATTACGCAGCTTGGCATGATTTTAGTGTTTATTTTTTGGAGCTTACTGATTTTAATTTTCATAATTCAGAGTCATAATTGTATGCAAAATTTTGAAATTACAGGATTCTGCCATACTTGTACTTAACAAGCCCCCAAAAGTGCCCATGAAGGGAAATTTGCCAGTGCATAACAGCATGGATGTGCTTGCAGCAGCAGCTCTGTCATATGGAAATGAAGAAGGTCCAAAATTGGTGAGCTCAAGAGTCTCTTCATCATTGGTCAGCATGTATAACCATAAGCTTGCACTGAAGATTTTTCTCGATGGATTTTGCGTTTTGACCACAGGTTCATCGACTGGACAGAGAAAGTAGTGGTTTGCTGTTGTTCGGGAGAACAAAAGAAAGCTTTACTCGATTGCATTGGCTTTTCACTAGCGTCAATTTAGCAAAAACGAATTCTCAGGTAATGAGGCAAAATCAATTCATTGTGCTTGTGGTTAAGCAATTTTTTTCATCTAAACAACTTTTATTTGCTCTCTGTTGTTATTTGCATGTTAATTCCTTAAATTGTTGACAAATATTATAGGTATGGAATGCTGCCTGTGAAGCATACATGCAGAGGTATTGGGCATTGGTGATTGGGACCCCTAAAGAAAGAGAAGGGATTATTTCTGCACCTCTTTCAAAGGTGTTCCCATTTACTTAGTATTACTCTCAGTAATGAACCACCTAAGCATGTAAAAGAAAAAAGAACTGTTTCCTCTCTAAGTCTGAGTTTTTTAGCTTCCAATCTTTTTCACTTAACTTTCCACTATGCAGTAATCTTAGCACTTGTGCTACGAGTAACCATGGATTGGTCAAGTCATATGTGCCAAGTTACATGCATAATAACATATATTTTTCATAAACAGGTACTTCTTGATGATGGGAAAGCCGAGCGTGTCATTCTGGCACATCCATCTGGCATAGATGGTGCACAAGAAGCTGTAACAGCATATCGGGTGATGGGACCAACCATTCATGGGTGCTCATGGATTGAGCTACGCCCATTGACAGGCCGAAAGCATCAGGTACCCTCAACTCAATATTATGTTCTAATGTATCAAGATAATTAAGATAATATATGTTTTGATATTATTAGTGGCTTAGTGCTACTGAATGCCTGAGTTATTTCACATGTATACATATGAAATGATGTTTCTTTACTGAAAGAATCAATCTTTCCGTTTTGCTCCTCTGCAGCTCCGAGTACATTGTGCAGAAGCTCTAGGCACACCCATTGTCGGAGACTACAAGTACGGGTGGTTTGTGCACCAAAGGTGGAAGCAGAATCCCCAACCAGACTTTGAACCGTTTACTGGGGAGCCATACAAGCTGAGGCGCCCAGAAGGCTTGGAAATCCAGAAGGGCAGTGTTCTCTCTAAAGTCCCTCTGCTGCACCTGCATTGCCGGGAAATGGTCATCCCCAACATCGCGAAATTCCTGAGCAGCAATGGAGAATGGCATGAAAATGGTGCTCCATGGTCCAAGGAGAAGCCCAATCTCCTCAGGTTCATCGCACCGATGCCTGCACATATGAAAATTAGCTGGAATATCATGTCCTCATATCTGGTGTAAGAGCATCTCCATGTGCCATTGTTGGTAACATCAAGTTTCATTCCATGTAGTTTTACTGAGAAGCAGCTAGGCTTCTAGTTCATTATTTTCTAGATTCTATAGCTACATCTTCTCACAGTCTGGGTGAGAATCTGTTCTGCACTGCTTCGGGAGCCTAAGATTTTAGGATATAAGCTGCCGCTGCTAGAAGCTCAGCTCCCCCGAATAGTGCCATAGCTGTTTTTTTCAGGAATGCCAGATTGTAGCATCTGAACCATTGCAAAAGAAACAGTTGGTGTGAATATAGATCAATTTTCTAAGAGTATACATCCTACCAAAGTTTTAAATCTTTGTTTCTTTTTTGTAAGCATGATGTAATTCTGAACAATAATTACTGTACGTTGCAGCATTTTACTACTAATGAAATGCCACTGCTAGTCTGCTACTAATCTGATGAGTAATTCCATTCCAGTATCAGTAGTTCCAAAAGATTTGGTTTTTCCTGTGCTGCTTCCTCAGGTAGACGCCGAGCAACTTGTAATACGTCCACCGCCGCTCGCCGCCGGTGGCCTCGAGCAACACCTCGGAGCTCGCGTGGAATCCCCCCTTGCCGAACGCCTCGAACACGACGGCGTCCGTGGCCACGACGGGCTCGCCGGCGCCCAACCGATCGAACGCGAAGTTGAGGTTGCGGGCGAGGCGGCGCTCCAGGTAGGCGTCGACGAAGCAACCGTGCGTGACGAGGTCCGGCGCGACGCCGTCGCGGCGCATGTGGTCGGCGGTGAGGTGGAGGTCCCAGAACATGCACATCTTGGAGAAGGCGACGGCGCGGAGGTTGAAGGTGGTGAGGTCCGGCGTGAACCCGGCGGCGACCATGTCCAGGAACGCGCGCTGCAGCGACTTCATCTTGAAGTTGGCGGCGAAGGAGAGGAGGTAGAGGTTCCAGAGCAGGTTGCCGCCAGCACGGCGGCCGAGGCCGACGTCGGTGACGAACTCGCCGAGCTTGTAGTACTTGCGGTGGGAGATGTACGCGGACGCCATGGCGCGGATGGCGGCGACGGAGACGAGGAGGCGCGACGCCTTGAGCCGCCGGTACGCGGCCTCCATCTGCGGCACGGTGCCCGACGCCGCGTAGTGGCACACGAAGGCGTTGCCGGTGGCGGAGTCGACGGGGAGGCCGTGGCGGGCCATCTCCCGGACGGCGTCCTCCATGAGGGCGAGCTCCCCCGCGGCGCCGAAGCAGGTGACGGCGAGCGGGTAGAGCGCCCGCGCCGCGCCGGGGTCGCGCGCGCAGAGCTCCCGCACCACGAGGAGCGCCTCGTCGCACCGGCCGAGCCGCGCGTACGCCGGGAGGAGCCGCGGCGCCGCGGCGCGGAGGCGCGGCGCGGCGGAGCTGTGCAGGAGCTGCGCCCACATGGACCGCGCCGACGCGAAGTCGCCGGCCTCCGCGTGGGCGAGCATGAGCGCCGCCGCCGCGTCGGCGTGCGGCGGCGCGGCCCTTGGGCAGTAGGCGCCGTCTCGCCGCGGCGGCCGCGCAGCCGACGGCGAGGACGGGAAGGCGAGCCTCGCCGGCGAGTGGAGCTCGGGAAGGAGGAGGCGAGCGGAGGGAGAGGCAGGCGAGGGCAGCGGCCATGGTGGAAGCAGGAGAGAACCCATGGTGATGATGACGTCACCTCTTTTTCTTAGCTTGGCTTCTGCTTTCTGAACTGCCTCACAAAAAGGGCAGGGAGAAATGGAAGCAAGATTTTTGAGAGGAAAAAAAATTCCTGGGAATTGGCAATTCATGTTTTCAACTTTGGGTTAACTGAATCCATATTATTATCAATAATAATTTATTCATTTTCGAAACATGCTATATTAAAATTCGCAATGTTTAAGTTGTGCCATTACAATTTGGTTTAGAAGTCTTGATAAATGCATATACATCGAAGGGGCAATAGTAGTGGCACTGACATGTCCCGAATACCTGCTAAATTTTAATAGCACAGCTTGAATATCACGAAATTATAATTAGCATATTTCAAAGATGGAGAAATTATAATGGCGGATTCAATTATAATAGCGTGCCAATCCTGTCTGCAGAATCATCAAGATGGTGACAAACCCAGTGTAACAAGTTTCAGTAAAAAAAATGCAGGATTTGGATCATCCAGCAGTTCAGAATTCAGAGCTAACATCTCTTTTCTTCTGCGCTGATAATCTGATATGGCAAAAAATGGTCATCTTAGCCTCCATATTGCAACAAACTCAATCTGTTCATCACTGACGGCACAAATAATCACCAAAGATAAGCAGAGGATAGCAGCAGGAAGCTGCAAAACACAAACCTTTGGCTACATGATAAGACTAGCCCTCTTTGCCCAAGGTGAATAATCAATACTCAGATGGGCATCAGGAGAGTTACATTGATCAATCGCAAATTCACATTCCATCAAATACATCTGTTACTCTGTTAAGGCGAGAACTACTTCGACCAAATTAGAAAAGAAAATGGTCAATAGTACAACAATAATAAGAAGATAATAACACAATTCCGCGACAAGCAGTGAACCGGAAGAGGAGCACTCACTCAAATAGTACAGAAACCAGAAAATAGGAACCGAAAGAGGAAGGCCAGGCTTGCGCCGAACAAGCCGAACACTACAAATGCCTTCCTCCTCCTTAAGCACCTAGTTGTAGTACATAAGCTGTTGCGCTGATGACTGGTTCGGGTACCCGTCGTAGAGGGCCTGGGAGCCAGCAGCAAGAAGCCCTGCGGATACCTGACCTGCAAGGCCATGCTGGCCAGCAATCTGCCCAGCTGCGACCTGGCTTAAGGTAAGTTGCCTCTGATATGCTACGATATCAGCTGCCGAGAAACCTTGTGGCACACCTGCCATTGGTACGGGTTGATATGAAGGAAGTGGCGGTGGCAATGGCTTGGAGGATGTACCAGGTGGGGTAGGTTTGTTGCCCCATGAGCACTAAGAAAGAACATGGGAAATTGCATAAGTAATCATGCAAAAAATTGAAAGAACAGACGAAATAATATTTATTTGAATTGGACAATACCTTGATCGGCTTCCCACGCACTACCAATCCATTGGCCATCTGAATAGCCAATGCTGCTTCGCCATGGTTACTGTATCTCACAAACCCAAATCCTTTATCCTGTTGAACGCGAACTTCCTCAATAGCCCCAACACCTAAATTATAGAAGTGGCGGTGAAGCTCATCTCGGTTAACCTGACAAGTTAGATAAGTAAATGATCAATTTAAGGTGTCCTAAAATTCGAGATGAGAAGTAATTGCAGCACACTGAGGAAAGAGGAACGGTCTAGCACCAATTCCAGGGTAGGATATGGAATAGGAAATAATTAGAACATAGGAAGAAAGAAAACTGGGCTAGCACCAGTTAATTTCTACCTCATGTCCAAGGTTGCCAACATACACCGTAGTACAATCAGGGTTGTTCTCTGGATTCTCTTTACTTCCGGTGTCCTGACTTGCCTCCATTCCTGCAGAATAAAGTTGAAAACAATTCAGAATTAGCAGCGAGGACTATGTACGTCAGTAGCTCAAATTGCTATTGTTAAAGAGCAGCTAGATATGAGTGTATTTGCTATGGATGAAAATAATCGTAACAAATGAATGTGGTTATGCAGAAAATACAAGTTGCAGCATCTTTTCACTTCTTTTGTTACAGGAAGCACTTACAAGTTGCAGCAGCGTATGCAGAAAATACAAATATACATGGAAATCCGGTCATCTCAGATCTTTGTGTGTTAAATTTGATCTTTCTAAGGATTAACATAAAAATACAATGTGGGAGGTCCATTGTGTAATATTGAAGAACATCAGGGGGCTCAAAATGCAGTGTAAGTAAAGGTGGGATACCAGATTCAGAACAATAACCACCAGCTTCGGTCTTTTAGAGGTTGACTCAAAAGTTTATGGCCATGGTGTACCCCACATGCTATTTATTCAGCTGAATATAAATATAATAGTGCCTTTTGGTCATGAAACTAGTAAAACAACTAACCTGGATTACTAGAACTACCATTTGTTAGTACAACTGCATTATGGTTGTCAGTTTCTTGTTTCTCTTCTGCATTGTTCTTTGTTGCCCAATTACACCTTATTTGTCTGCTTCCAAGCCATTTCCCTATTAAAGCATATTAGTTTGCAAAAGTCAGGAAGTTACAACACTGGAATGCCAGTAGGTTATAAGAAAAAAAATATATTATGAGCTCTGCTTGCATGTTTACCAGTCATTTCAGTTATAGCAGTCTCAGCTTCCTGCATTGAGAAAAATATCATGAGTGATAATAGGACAAAACACTAGGTGCAACTGTAGGACTGGACATCAGTTTACAAATGAAACTTCAGGTGATAATCAAATTTATGTTCAAGCTATGATAAATCATAAATAAAAAAGCAAAAGAAAAAAAACTGACACTTGGAATTTGCATAACCTTCATACAACAGCAAAGATCACCTATGATACAGTTTGAATTTTTGGCTATGGATGAATTACATAAGGAACCCGAAGAGCTAAAATTAGATATACAACAAGTACCATAAAAAACTATTTGAATATTAAAGAATATGGAATCATAACATAAAAAGTAATCAAACCTACCAATACCAAACATGAGAACATAATATTATATCTCATCTGAAACTAACAGTAACTGGTACACAGGTGGAGAATAGTTCACTGAATTAAACTACAACAGCAATAGCTCTAAGCCTCTAACAGAACACTGGTTGCCAGGAAATAAAAGAAAGAACGCAAATAGGTTGTCACTCGTCACTGTAGTATAGCTAAAACACCAGAATAATAGGTAGAGAATAAGCTGTGGAACACACATCACCCACGGGACAAAAATTGGTAAACATCTGCGAAATGGAAAAAGGTCTGAGTTGTTCATGCCTGTTGATTACGGAAGGAGACAAAACCATAACCTCTGGAGCGTCCGGTTTTGTTATCCCACATGACTCGAGCATCACTGATCATAAATGACACAAATGAAAAACTGAAAAGCTACAGCAAAAACAAAAAAAAAAAGGTAGAAACAAAGAAAAAGCATGTAGTCCAAAACGCAACATTCTAACATGTAATATCATCAATTTTACAATGGGATAAAGTTTATATAGAAAATTGAGCCACTTGAAATCAAGTCAGAATTACAAGGCATAAGCTGCAGAATGCAGATAAAAATTATCATATAGTTTATCATGTCACAAAGAACTAAGGACTTACGAACAAGAAGGATATGCTGAGAAACAGGCATAAAGAGTTGCATCATTCACTTCAGAACTTAAATCACCAACAAAAATATGGAAATGCCCTGGAAATAGTTCAGTGGGCACAGTTAACCAAATAAGAATTAAAATTAGAAACAAATGAAAGACATGTGAGGTTTTTCTTTAATAATATCTCACCAGATGTATCCTCCCTCTGTGTACTTGCATAAGCCCAGTTCACCTTGATTGCTTGGCCACATCTGTGCAAAAAAAAGTCCATAATGAAGAAACCCTAAAAGAAACTTGAGGCTCTGAAACCTGTGCTGTTGAAGTTAATGGAACACGGGAACTTACATGTGACGACCATGAAGGGTCATTATTGCAAGAGCCGCTGACCTCCGATCATAATAGTCAACAAAACCAAAGGAAGACTGTAACGAAAAAGTGAATTCTCATCAAACAGATGAATATTAACAAAATGCAGTAGGTTCTAGTTATTGGCCCTGTTCTTTTCAGCTACTTCATTGGATTGTTACGGTGGATTATTTGCTCCAACGACTCTAAAAATATATTTTCTCAAAAAACTTTCTTCTACTGTATTGCTTAAACCACTTGCTCTAAGCTACTACCTCCATCCCAAAATATAAGGAGTTTTGGGGTTGGACATGGGTATTAAGAAAGTAGGTAAAATTCAATGTGTGATGGTTGTGATTGGTTGAGAAGAGAAGGTAGGTGAGGATTTTAAGAGGTGGAAGGTTGTGATTGGTTAAGAAGGGAATAAATTGTTATATTTTGGGACAGATGTTGGAGGCTAGAAGTTGTTATATTTTGGGATGGATGGAGTATTTCTTAAGTTTATTTCTACAAATCTTTATTTGATCCCTACAATCACGTAGATAATTCACTGACTAATCTGTTACAAACTGTGCCAAAATGTTTGATGACATTTGAACCAAAATCACACCAAGATTGTTAGAAAATTAAAACTAAAATTAGGTCGGGAATGTTGTAGTGTTAGAACGTGGCGTTTCTCAAACTTTCATCAAACCTTGGGCACAGCCTTTGGATGCATGAGCAGGATGCATAAACATACCTTCTCCTTCCGGATGAGCTTGCATCTTTCCACAAGGCCAGAACTCTGGAAAACTTCGATTAGAAGGCTCTCAGTAACATTAGGGTGCACATTCCCAACATACCTAGTTGACACAGCATCGTTAATTAGAAAAATAAACAAAACTTCAAAGTAGTTAACTAGCAACCATATATTATACAAATTTCTACCAAAGAAAAAATCAGCATCAGCCTTGATGGAAGACTGTGCATAACCTAATTATGCACGCATGCGTCACCTTGTGGAATTCCACATTGGTCATAAAACAAAATAAGTTGGCAGATAAGGGGGAAAATATTAAAAAAAAAAGGAAGTTGTATAATATATGAAGGTGAAAGCAGGAAAAGACTGAAAGCACTCACACACTGCGACATGTGGATGGATCAAACCCTGGTGGAAGATTGCCATTTGAAATAGGCTCCATCTGCAAAACATAAAATGTCAAAAGAAAAAAAAAACAAGACTGACGCGAAGCAAGCACGGCAAAACAAGATAGAAAACAAATAAGTACAATGAGGAAAGCTAAACTTGGTACCAAATAACATAAGAAGAATAGGCACCCAACATTCAAACTAAAGAGGAATCACACCAGTAGTGCAGATAAGATATACACCCACAAAGCCCATCTAGCAAAACATAGTTTCTAAGTCATCTGTTATCCATTAACATCGCCATGGTGATGTGGATTGTTAAGCCAGCCTTCCAAACCTATGTTCTTCGTGCAGCAGGTGATGTCGCACAAAACCAGGCTATTTGGTGGGTCTTATAAGATCGTGCCATTAGGAACCTTGAATAATTGGAGAGTGGAAGCACTAGCCTAAGGAGATACGGAAAGCATTTTGATTAAACAGATTTTAGTATGCACCAAGAATGTACACTGAGCCAATGAGGTAAGGGGGACAGCTTACAAAAAGTTAAACTCTCCCAGATTCATAACAAATGCAATAATTTTATACAATAATTACATTCGATGTGAATATGAATAGCATATAGGCAAGTAAACATGATATGATCACTTTCCCCAGAAATTGTAAAGGAAGTGAAAACCCAATTCTTCCAAGCCATGTTTCATCACGGCCAACTCAAAGTTTGTCTCTCTTTTTTCACCAAACTAACCTAACAATTAGCAGTTAGCACGACATTTGCCATGAATAATGACATGCACCTTTTATGCAACTAAAGACAACACATCACTTGCTCAATTCCAAATAACAAAGAAACTCTAGTTTTCAAGTGAGAGCCTCCTCTAACTACTCAATCAATCAAGATGCAACCTAAAAAAAAGGAGGAGGAATGCACAAAGCAAAACAACAATCCTCCTGGGGCTCGCGCGGCAGATCGGCGCGCATTACTGCTCCCCGACACGCGCACGCAATGGCACGAACAAACAGATCAAGAAGAGAGGGGGGGAAACGGGAGAGGGGCTGACCTGGGTCATGGCCGCCGCGGCGGCGGCGGCGAGGACGCCGGACTGGTACTGCTGCTGCTGCTGCAGCGCCTGCTGCATCAGGAGGGCCTGCTGCTGCTGCTGCTGCCTGAGCCGCTGCTGCTGCTGCTGCTGCTGCTGGTGGTTCCCGCCGGCGCCGTTCATCTCCTCCCCCTCCGACTCCGACTCCGACTCCGGCGGCGACGGCGACGCGGCGAAGACCGGATCGGGACCCCGGGAACCGAGGGTTCGCAAGGAACGATCGACAGATCGGGGGAATGGATCGAGCGGATCGAGAGATTCCGGGGCGAATTTCTTGCGGGGATCGAGCTAGATAACGGAGGAAGAGGAAGGTGAGATTTTTCTCGTTTTCTTCCTCTCTTTTTTTCTTTTCTTTTTTTTTTCGCTCGCCTCTGTTTTTTTTCTCCTCCTCGTCGAGCTCCAATGGAGGTTAGAGAGGGGGAGGGTAAGTTGGGGATTTTCCCCTGTGTAGGAGTCTAGGAGATGGCATGGACCTTACACTGACAGGTGGGCCCGGTTTTTTTCCCCTGGCTCTGAAGCCTGAATCTGCATGGTCACTTGTGGTCAGGTGGTCAGGTTAAGACTTAAGAATATGGATGTGGTATTGTGGATAGGTTTCAAAAATTTTAAAAGGAATTCGCTATAGTAGGTAATATTTGTTTTGTCCAAATATTACATATTTGGTTCATATTTATCTTAAGATTTATATACCCACGGTGGATAGGGTTTGATGTTTGGTTAGACGGATGTGACATACCTGTGGTAGATCTCAGCTCAAATTGGGCCAGAGAATGAGATTTTACGAAAGAAATTATATTGGAATTTACTTAGGGAAAGATAAATTTTTAAGTCCCATTAAAAGATGCTTGAGATGAACCATGGCTCTGGTTTTCAAACGATTCGGAAAAATTTGGTCTTTTGCTTTTCACGGGAATTAGAGCCAAATTATTACATGATTTACAGCACATTCGTTTACATTACAAAGAAAAGAGAAAGCCAACATAGTTCGAATGATAAGACGTTGTTAAAAGCAAATGCTATTGCTAAATCCCCATCCATAATTAGCAAAAGGTTGCATAATCATCATATTTAGGTAACAGCACAAGTCCGATATCATTTGTTTGTCATTTTCGCACTTTTGCAACATGGCCCAAAACCAAAGACAATGTGTGTCTCTTGTAAAGTATCTACATATAAAATTTAATAGAAAAGTTATCCGAAATCATCTCATTGCGACTTAACCATATAGCCTAGCATATTCCAGATGTCCCGGCTAATATTGTCTCTAATGATGGTGATATCTAAGGTAGGATTACAGTGTATGATTGCTTATTTTTGGGACCAACTTCATAAACATAGGTTAATAGATTGCATTAATGATTTAAAGAAGAATGTCAAATTACTTAAACATACATTTACTCACAAATACTCTATGTCTTTTTCATGTAGCTATATGTCTTTTAAGTCTAGCGGATGAACGCAACAAAAGATGTTATCATCCCATAAATGTGATGCATATGCATACATTTTTATCAGTACTAAGGGCCTGTTTAGATCCCCTGGCAAAATTTTCACCCCGTCACATCGAAATGTTTGGACACATACATGGAGTATTAAATATAAACGAAAAAATAACTAATTACACAGATTGCGTGTAAATTGCGAGACGAATCTTTTAAGCCTAATTGCTCTATGATTTGACAATATGGTACTACAGTAAATATTTGCTAATGACGGATTAATTAGGCTTAATAAATTCATCTCACAGTTTACATGCGAAATCTGTAATTTGTTTTGTTATTAGTCTACGTTTAATATTTCAAATGTGTGTCCATATATTCGATGTGACACGCCAAAACTTTACACCCATGGATCTAAACACCCCCTAAACTTTTTATATGCCATGTTATAACCTCAATACATATTTATCCAAATAATACCTTAAATATTCCTTAAAAAAATTATCCAACGTCCCAAATAACGGAACTAGGTATTTTAATGTCGAAATTTTACCATTTGGTTCAAATAACAACCTCCTTACTAGTGTCTTGCGGCATTGTCCATGTGATGAATGAGTGGTTTTTCCATAATATTAGCCAGTTTGGAGATAGGGCATCCTTTGGAATGGAAAAGCTCAACTGGTTAGGTTCATTGTGGTGGAACCTGTCCACCCGTGTTCAAGTTCTAGATTTGCTCGCATTTATGACTATTTATTCTTCAGTGATAGATGATATACTCATCGACAACAAGACACCCGTAGTGACTTCGTCAATCTCAAGATATGTCAGCCTAGTCTTCCAGAGGTTCTCAAGATATTACGGTCTTGTTTTTCGGTGATGCTCATAGCAATAGGATGTGCGTTCGTAGGGGTGTTCTCATTATATGACGACCTAGTTTTTCGGAGATGCTCGTAGCGATAGGGTGTGCGTTTATTGGGGTGAGTGTGCGAGCGTTGTGAGCGTCTACGTATGTACCGTATTTCAAAAAAAAAAAGGAATTTTCTAAGAGCAATTTTATGGGAATCAATCCAGATTATGTAAAATTCATGCCTCCCAAATAAGCTCTAAAATTTGAAGTCACACCTCTCCCGCGATTCATGGATCCATCCAATATAGTCACCAAAAAACGAAGTATAATCTTCCAATTCCAATTCCACTCTTGTCATTGTTGGTATTAACAAGAAAAGTACATGGCACCAACACGAAAATGGCGATCGAATATACCTCTACAAACTTTAAATGAACAAACAATGATTTAGATAGCTCACAACATGAAAACGGCGATCCAATATACCTCTACAAACTCTAAATGAACAGATAAATAATTCATCTGGATGGCTCACCAGGGGCCTATTTTACAACGAAACGCTAACAATCAGTGCATCCTGGTGATGATGTTCTGATCGACAGGTGAAACAATTGTTTCCATGATTCTGGGCTTACTTGCTTCACATGCTTCTCCATAACATCACAGCAGATACCAGTAAGCCATATTATGTTTTCAATACAAAATATTGACACTCAAACAATAATTGCTGCTGCTCCACACATGAACAAAAGTGAAATTACACAACAGATAACCAGAGAAGAAGAATGTACTCCTGCCCAGTATGTTTGGGACAACCAGTTTTCCTCTTGGCTGCTGATACGCCATATTTCCACCTTAAGCTTAAAGTCTTTTTAAAAAGAAGGGAAAGCAGGTCCGTTCCATATGGTGCAGATAAATAATGTAGTGAACAAGGGAACCTTAGGAAAACAACGGCACAGTGCTTACCCCATATTAACCTTGGAAAGATATATTTTGCAGGACAATGCATCGACAATACCTTTTCTTTTCTCGAAAACATCAGCAGGACTCATATGGAACATGTTAAGCGAAAGATGATCTGTAGTATATATTTTTATTTTGAAGGTATTACCACCAATGTCAAAGACCAGTAGACGTCATAATGTTTCAGAGGCATGAAAACAAAATTATTGGTTGAAGTGGTGTACAACAAAATGTACCGTGAAAAGAAATTCAATAGCTAACATAAGAAGTCTAGCATCAATTTTGTTTTTTGAGAAGAATTCAGACATTAAGGCTAAATTGATCTAGGACATGACAAGGTTTCTAGTGTCTTCATGAGACTGTTTACGTCGCATAATGTTTAAAAGGACAGAAAAATCTTCATGCACATATATACCTGTAATATGATAAATATCAAGAGGAAACCATATCGTTTTAGCTGTTATTGTTGTACTCAGATGCTCTCTTCTTTTAGATGTCAGATGTATCATTTTGCATTGCATTGACATTAACAAGATCTGTTTGGCAGAGGTGTGCTACATATATCACGACAAAATATTCATCTTGGGAAGCAAGCGATTTTGTAATGATATCTCAATTGTTGCTATTACCTGTTCAGTTAAATAAGATCTGAAATACAGCAGTAAATACTCAGGAAGAGCTGAGGAATCTGGGGTATCAAATCCAGTGGCTGGCTCAAATGGACTTCTTCATTTGAGATAAGAACAGTGAAATACTATAGCCGTCTGAATAGTATGCAAACAAATCCAAACAAAATAACTTCTGGACAGATGTTGTGGAGGCCAATTGGAGCAACAATACAGTGACTTGGAATGTCAGATTCTCGTTATGTGTTCCAAAAAATCCCCAGCTAATTTCCTCAATTTTGTCAGAACGCTTCCTGAACTATCAGCAAGGATAGTTTCAACTGGTGACACTGTGGCAACAAGGACAAAATTTTCACCATTACTGACATTTATTTCATACAACTCAGAGAAGACATGGCGAAGAACATCAATCAACCCTTTGTAGAAGGATCCATCTGCAGCAGGAGGGATAACATTCAATATGAAAGCCCCATCACGATGTAGGATCGTGCGTGAAGCAAGAAGAATGCTTTCCTTTGTCATCTCCAACGGTGGTGCACTGACTCCACATATAGCATCAGATGAATCAAGATCCACCATAATCGCACTGAAATTCATATCAGGGTCCCCTTGATGAGCAAAATCCTGGATCATTTGAATAGCATCACCAACACGGACTTGAAGGAACTCATCCTCTACCAATCCAAAATGGCTCCTTGCAACATCCAGCACAACACCATCAGCCTCTATCCCTAGTACATCACACTGAAGCCCCATTCTGATTGACATCAGAAGAGCGCCGCCACCGATACCAGCACAAAGACACCTCGGCTTGCCACCCAACCGAAAGCTCTCATCCATGGAAGGGGCGATCACCGCAAGACCAGCGGCCATTGCCTGTAGGTAAGGCTGGACCAGCTCTCCACCCACCTCAGGCTGCAATGAACCACCTCCAACCTCATCCAATGCATCTAACATCAAAGAATCACCCGGCGATAATTGCCGCACAAGGCGCACCTGCGTCTGAACAAGGAACGGCATCCGCTTGAACCGCAATCGGCGGCGCAATTCAGCCGAACGTGGCGCGCAGTCGACGGCCACATCCTCAACAACCATCTCACCAACCACAGGACCAGCGACAACCTTGACAGGAGCAAGCCGGAGGAGGTCATCATGGAAGGAGAGCAATGGCACGTCAGGGATAGCATCGCCCCCAAACGCGGCACGGGGGCATAGAGCCAGGAGGAGTGGGAGCAGCCGCGCGTGAGCAGGATCCGGGTCCGGGCGAGCGGCGGCGGCGACGACCACCACCCGAGAAGGAGACGGCGCGGAGAGCTCGGGGCCGACGAGGATGAGGCGGGAGAGGTGGCTGCACTGGGAGCGGGAGGCGAGGAGGAGGTGCAGGTGGCCGGCGCGGGTGGAGAAGATCCAGTCGCGGTGCCGCCCCGCCGGCACGAGCATCGCCGCCGTGCGCGGCGACGGGTGGGGTGAGGAGTGGTCGAGAACCGCCACGCGGAGGAACTCATGGCCGCCATGGGCGTACGGGTCGGAGGCGTGGTCGAGGAGGAGGAGAGGGTTTGGGAAGGAGAAGGCGATGAAGCGGGAGGGCTCCACGTCCTGCAAGCCCTCCAGCTCCGAGCTGACCGCCATTGCAGAGAGAGAGATCTCGAGCAACCAAGAAACCCAAGCAGGAGGAGCAATCGCGCGCGTCCAAATTTCTCGACGAGGGTTTCGTTTCTCCTCCGATTGGGGGAGTATCGCGAAGATTCTAATGGCGGGGAGAGAGGGTTGACCTGAGATTCCGTCCCGTCCAGCCGCCGCCGGCGAGGGAGTCGACGGGGCTCGCGGCGGCGCCGGCGCCGGCGGCGACGAAAAATCGCCTGGAGCTGTGAGCTGAGGGTTTCCTCTGTCACTGTGTTGTGGGACCACTAGGTCAGTGAGAAACAAATATCATATGATATATTTACCGTTCTTAAATTAGGTGTATTTGACCCCATGTTTTGAGTATTTTCTATGTTCAGTTTAAAATTATGTTCCCGTTGATGGAATTGGTACAGTATCTTCCAAAATCCATTCTTCGGAAGAAGATTGTAAGCAGTAATGCTTATTAACAACAACAAAGGAAAATTATGTAAAACTTAGTGTATGTGATCTTAGCGATTTAAAAATTAATGCTGGAAAATGAACTACGATAAAAGAAACAAACAAATCTAAAATTAAGTTTTAAACTTCAAATATTGGTTGTGGCTCATAAGATGAAGAGCAAATGATAAAGCTGTTGGTCATCTCATATAACGAATGAAGTCAGGCAGCATATGATAGAAAGAATTTAGAGAAATGACATGATGAAAAGTCCCTTAGCAATATTTGCAATAAGAATTTGGTACTAATTTATTGAAATATTTCGTATCCCCAAATGTACAACTCAACACTAGCTCCCAAAGACTGTAGAAAACTCTCATACAAATACATGATCAGCGATTCCTCATGTATAAAATGTTGTTTTTTTTTACCCATTTAGATCTGTAACAGCTTACAGATGGTGATATCTGACAATCTCCATTCTGCAGCTTATACAGCAGCAATATATACACTGTAGTATAGACATATGGACGGGCTATACAAGAGGGTAACAAGGCCATAAAAACATACAGAGAATTAGCACATCTACAAGACTGCAACAGAGACAATAGTCTGAATAATGGAGTAAACTTATAAATGGAGGCTTCTGGGCACTCCAACACAGCCTTCCTCTTGTATCCATATTTATTGAGTTTTCTTGTCGATAAATTTACTGTAAGCTCAAAGTTTCGAAGCCAAAATTATCATTGCCTACTACCATCCTTTGCACTGTCATGAGACTAACAGTCAAAAAAAAGTCGGTCTTGAGGCGACAGCAACTACAGTATGTATGTAAAGTGGGTTTTGATCAGTTTCTACATTCTAGTCGCCGGTTATCCTCCAGGGATGACCCCCATCAGAGCTGCTGCAAGCTTGGTTGGGTAGAAAGCTGTCTCCAAAGTCGCCGACTAATCTCATCTGCATTTCTTCCTGTGGAGAAAGAATCCTGATACATCGTACACATTTCACAAAGTCCCTGCACATGCAAAGCCATCGGTTCTTAGTTATCACCGTGATACAATTAGAAATAGCTATACTTTGATAGGTGAATAAGTATGATCAGTTGAAAAAAATGGAGCCTCGTTATATTTCCCAATCAGGTAAGTGGTGAGATCACTGCAGAAAATATGCTTGATTGGTTTTACGTAACACAGAGTTGCTTTTAGAGTCTCTCTACATGTTTTAACAGGTAAAGTAAATATTCAGCTGGAGTTAGAAAACATTCTATGGCATGTGAAACTAACAAGCAGGGATGTACAGATCTTTGCGTGTTAGTGAAACTAAGCTCACAAACAATAAATCCAGAATCTATATGAAGTTGCTCCAAGATCATGTTCACTCAAATCAGCTAACCCCATCCATGGGTTTATCTTCGGTAAAAAAAAAGATCCACGCCTCCAGAAAGATATTATTGTTAGTTTTGTATGTGCAGATGAAAAATAAGTTTATGGGATTTGACTTACTCCCATGGATCATCACCAACTAGTAGAACATCCTTCTCGTGATCTTCATATACTAGCTTCCAGCCAACTCTATTTTGATCACCAAGCTGCCCCTCAATACCAAACATCCGAGCAACGTCATGTTTCAGCTCATCATATCCAGAATATCGATTGATGTCAATTGATCTTCCCACCGCACCACGCTTGTGTACCTGTAGATAATTATTTTGGTCAGCACAGGTGTCCACTGCAATAATCATCAACATGTGCAATTATTTCATGAATCTTAGTTAAGAGTCATCCTAAGATTGTAACTTAACTCGAAATTTTTTTCTAAAAAAGATGGTGTAAAGTAACAAGTTGAGGCTAAGCTAGATAACAAACCTTGGTGTAGGTTCTCATCCGTTGATGTGCAGGACCTGCTGCAGACCGGGAATTTCTATTTAAGAATGGGGTATCATTGATTGCAGAATCTATAGAATTGAATGCCATATCAGCAACTCCAAATGAATGTGAAATCATTGAAGATGATAACTCTTGTTGAGAATCCTTTGATGAAATGAAGTTAGAAATGCCATTTCCTGGCAACTGATCCATGTATTTATCGGTTCCAATGTCATTCGCAAGCAGGTCTGCATTAAGTGGTAAACCCAGTTGACCATCAATATTCACCCCAAATAGAAGGTTATTTCTTGGATCTGTAACCTCAAACTCGCTATCTGGAACTGTGTCTTTTAGCAAGTGATGCTGGTGGAAGGATGAAGGTGGAAAGTTTTGTTGCAATGATCCATCAGCCTGGGAAAGGCAAACCGAAGTAGCTGAAGAGGATGTGTCCAAGTAATCCATTTGAGGATTGTTATTTATGCAGTCTTGTCCAGTAGCTGGCCTTTGTTCTGTCGTCTTGGGAATCATAACTGTTTGCTTTACATTTTGATATGGCTTTGTGTCCTGTTCGATCGTAGGACCCAACACAACAGATGATTGAGATGTCTTTCCTGCTGTAGTTAAACTTTGGTTCTTGGAGCTACTTGGGATGGATTGCAGAAGAACAGGATTGCTGTTAGTGGATGGTGATGTTGAAGTAGACGGAACATCATCTGTCTTCAATAATTGGCGTCCACCAGCTACATGCAAAGAACTAGCACCCATGGAAGTAGCGATGTCTGATTTTGAATTAGGAATGACATTCCCAGTTAAGTCTTGAACTTGGTGAGACTGAACCTTTTGCTGTGTCGGGTATTGAATAGTGTTACTGTTATGTAAACTAATAGCTTGGTTTGTTACCTGTACACACTGCTGAGGAGCTGACTGTGAATTTATCACTTGCTGCTGCAAATCCAAAAGCATCTTCTGCTGCTCTGAGATCAGAGGCTGCTGTGGCTGTAAAGCCTTGAGTAGTTGTAGTTTCATTTGATGATCTGCCACCTGCGTATTCATACTTGCATCCATGGAAACATGAACAGGTTGTATCTTTATTTGCTGATGTTCCTGTACTGACTGCTGAACCTGCTGGACAGGTTGCAACTGTTGTGTTTGCTGCTGCTGATGATGTAACTGTTGCGGTATCTGCTGGTGCTGCACATGTGGCTGTTGCTGCTGGAGAAGCTGGATTTGTTGAAGACCTCCTTGTAAGACAGTGTGACTTTGGACCGAAGGTTGCGTTTGCTGGAGTTGGGCCTGGACAACAACTTGAGGTTGCTGCAGTTGCGCCTGGAGAATGACTTGCGGTTGCTGAAGCTGAGCCTGAACAACAAGCTGAGGCTGTGGAATGTTTATGTTTGGCTGGCTGCCTTGCACTGGTTGAGTAACCACATGCTGCCTTTGTTCAGAGTTGCAATCCTGAACCACCTTCTGCGGTATTATAACACTTCCCAATTGGTTTGGTGTAGGGATAACTTTCGCTAATTGTTCTGTCTGTTGGTTTTGTTGAGGTACCAACGCAGTGTTGAACTGGATGTTGTTTTGTTGCAAGAACTGCGGGTGAAAACTGATTTGCCTTGATAAATCAGCTGCAGCCAAATTTTGTACAGGTTTTCCACTTAATGAGTTTAGTAACTCTGGTTGCACAACCGTGCCAGGAAGCGAGGAGCTGTGCTGCATGTTCATCCACTGAGCTAGATTTAGACCAGGCACTACACTGTTCTGAATATTCAGATCTTTCTTGCAAATCTCCTCACCAACCCATGGCATGGCCCTCTTGAGAAGACCGTCCATTTCAGTCTCGTCATCTACAGATGTGATTAAATTATTATAAGATAATGAAATCATAATTTTCTGTTAGAACTGATATTCAGTCGAAAACTTTGGTTACACAATAATCATAGTCTGATATGAGTACTAATCATCCATAGAGTGACCTTTTATCAGATCAGTAACTGTTTACCTGTCATCCCAGGTAGCCTTGGACGTTTTGCGGTGAATAATGGTGAGGGGTAGATGAAGAATGGAGCAATGATAGGCTCTATCTCCCAGAGGGAAACCCTGGTGCGTCTCTCAGTTGGTGCCGCTTCATCCCATGCAACCTGCATATAGTTCTACTTATTCCAGCAAAAACAAAGGAGATATAGCTTTGTAAGGAATCAGACCAAACCTGAATATTGCGCCAATGAGATGTTTTCCACCTTACTGGATCCAGATCACTTATACCAGTTATTGTACCCATGTACCTGCAAGGAAGATGTCACAAATACGATTCAGAAAAGAATCTTATAAAACATCACACATTCACAAGTGCATGAACATGAACACAGTCAACACAGAGAGCTGAATGTGACTCAATGCAGAAAAATGATGCTCCCAAAATATCCTAAGTGTGCACAACACACACCAAGGATCTTTTTAGGTCCAGTCTGTAGCAGGGTCCCTGTGGGAGTCAAGGTAGCTCGATATCCACCCCTTAGAGGGGGGTTTAGGATAAAAAATTTTCAACTAAAAGGAATTTGAAGTAATGAGAACAAGTATATGTTACACAAATAAGATAAAGTTCAGAAACTATACCTTCTTGTTCCTGACTCTTCAGTTTCAAACATCATTCTGAACCGCATGCCAAGAGATAATTGGTTACCATACACTGCCTTCTGGTATTTGGCAAAAGGAATCACAAATTCGGAAGTACTGGCCCTGAATAAACAAAAAAAAGTTCAAACAAAACTAATAACATATCATCTCTTCATACGTTAAACCTAGCCAAAGATGTTTACCTTGGGTTATAATATATTGTAAATTGGCTGTTATTCGCTGCAGCATGGGCTGCTGCAGCAAGAATTCCAATATGCATACTATCACTAGATAAGACAGATGATGAGAGGTTCGTAGGTTGCCTATTTGCTCGTCTGATCCCCAAGAGGAGCTGCTGTTTTGCATCCCTATGGTCGGAATGAAGAAAGTTTAGTACTCCCTCAAGATTGATTTGTTACAGCAACATTTTCAAGCGATAGCGAGGCAGAAAAAACAGTTTATTGGCATAATCAGTGTACCTAATAAACAAGACTGAATCACCAGCAAGTAATCTCTTTCCACTGACAAATAGGCTCCAGCCCGTAGTCAGTAAATGCCTTTTAGGCTGACCTGGTGAAGAGAAAGAGAACTCATAAACTTTGAGACATTAAAGCATGAAGTAACACCAGAGTTTCCTGAACCTTTTAGTAACCAAAGGCCAAAGCTGACATACGG